AATTCAACAGCACCTAACAACAAGAACATATGGGGTCAAAGTGATAATAACTTGAAAGATTAGATAATAAACTTAAGGGACAGTGAGTTGATGTCAAATGGGGAGGAAAAACTCAGAAAAGAAGAAAAGGTATCCATAAACTGAAGAATGGAATCAGTGTCACTGGACTGTACATGTAGAAACTGTTGAATTGATGTTTTACTGTGCATATTCTTAATAAACACATAATAAATGATGCCTTTAAGCCAAGTAATTCCTGAGTGAAACCACCGCTGAGACAAAGAGAATATTTTGCAATAATATCAATAGAGAAAGGGGGTAGAAAAATTTAATCATCACAAGACAAAAGGTACTTTATGCATGCTGAACTCAAAAGAACCATCACTGTACATTTTACTGTGGAAATTTCCATAAAGCAACAATTTCATTTCAGCCACATATCATCTATCTCTAAATTAATTTTGTTAAATTGAATTTGATTGAGATTGTTTTGTTTATTGCTATCTGAATTTTAATTGTGATTTTTAAAATATTACATAATAGCTACAAACAGAAGATACTTATGTATCTACATATTTAGGCATTATTATAATGTTTAATTTAAATTAAATGGGAAATTTACATTGTCTCCTTGAAAACTGAGTCAACATTTTACTTAAATTTGAGAAAACAAAGACTGATTATGTTAGCTAGATAATGTTCTACCACTTTTAGCCTACCATCTTTTTTACATTCTGAAACACAAACTAGTATTATTGTACATATACTAGCAGATACTCTAATCAGATGATAAAAGACAAAACATTTTCTCCTTTACAAGTAACATTATCTTTACCCAGAACATTGTTGACCCTGGTAAAATGTACTCATCCTCTTTAATTAAAATGGTAACAGAATAATTTAATAAGACTTTGCAAATTACTGAGCCATCAGATACATTTGCTGTGAAGAATCAGTCATTCTTACAAGTTTACTTACATTATAATCAGCTTCAGGAAGTTTAATACCAGGAAATAAGTCACTAGTTATTCCATTAAATAAGGGTATATCGTGTGATAGAAACTTTGGTTCATTTACATCTTTAATCGATCGAAGAAGCTAAAAATAACCAAAAAATATGCAATGTAAGTTCATTGCTAACAGTACCCTCTCCAGCAAAAAGTTAAAAGTTAATTTTGCAATGTTCTGTGGAATCCCTGTATTAAAAAGTCAACATTATATTTATTGTTGTTCTGCTGTTAGGTGTTTTCAAGTCATACCAACTCATAGAGACTCATGCACAAAATAATATACTACCTAGTCCTGTGCCAACCTTACAATTGTTGCTATGCTTGAGCCCATTGCTGCTTCCACTATGCCAATCAATCTCATTGGGATCTCCTTCTTTTGGACTGATTCCTCACTTCACTAACTATGATGTCCTTCTCCAGGGACTGATCCTTCCCAATAAATAGGTGCAAAATATGAGAGACTAAATCTCGCCATCCTGGCTTCTAAGGAGAATTCTGGCTGTACTTCTCCCAACACAGATTTGTTTGTTCTTCTGGCAGTCCATGGTACTTTTAATATTCTCCTCCAACACAGTAACTGAAATGCATTATTTCGTCTATGGTTTTCATCATTTATTATCCACCTTTCATATGCATATGAGGCCACTGAAAATACCTTGGCTTGGGTCAGGCGCACCTTGGTCCTCAAACTGACATCTTTGCTCTTCAACACTTTAAAAAGGTCTAGTGCAGCAGATTTGACTAATGAAATACATTGTTTGATTTCTTGACTGCTGCTTCCATGAGTGTTGATCCAGCAAAATGAAGTCTTTGACAACTTCAATCTTTTCTCCATTTACCTTGATGTTATTTATTGGTCCAGTGGTGAGGAGTTTTGTTTTCTTTACATTGAGGTGCAACCCATACCAAAGACTGTGGTCTTTGATCTTAATCAGTAAGTATTTTAAGTCATCCGCCCTTTCAGCAAGCAAGGTTGTATCATCTGCATATTGCAAGTTGTTAGCAAGTCTCACTCCAATCCTAACGCCATGTTTTTCTTTGTATAATCCAACTTCTTGGATTATGTGTTTAGTACACAGATTAAATAGAATGATGAAAGAATACAACCCTGGTGAACATCTTTCTTAATTTTAAACCTTTCAGGGTCTCCTTGTTCAAACAGCTGCCTCTTGATCTATGTACAAGTTCCTCATGAGCAAAACAAAGTGTTCCAGAATACTCATTCTCCATATTATTGTCCATAGCTTGTCGTGATCCATACAATCAAAAGCCCTTGCATAGTCAATAAAGCACAGGTAAACATCCTTCTGGTATTTTCTGCTTTCAGCCAAGATCCATCTGACATCAGCAATGATATCCCTCATTCCACATTCTTGTCTGAATCCAGACTGACCCTCTGGCAGTTCTCTGTCAATGTACTGTTGCAGCCATTTTTTAATTCTTTAGCAAAATTTTACTTGCATGTGATATTAATGATATTGTCTGATGATTTCCACATTCCATTGGGTCATCTCTCTTTGGATGAGACACAAATATGGATTTCTTCCAATAAGTTAGCCAAGTAGCTGTCTTCCAAATTTCTTGGCATAGATGAGCAAATAGCCTCTAGTGCTCCATCAGTTCATTGAAAGATTTCTATTTGTATTCCATTAATTCCCAGATCCTTGTTCTTTGCCAATGCTTTCAGAGTACCTTAGACTTCTTCCTTCAGTACCATTGGCTCTTATCATATGCTACCTTTTGATACGGCTGAACATCAACCATTTCTTTTAGGTATAGTGGCTCTGAGTATTCCTTCTATCTTTTTTGATGCTGTCTACATCATTCAATATT